AATTTACCCCTTGACCCTCGAGATGCTTTCTATGGTGGCCGAACGGGAAACATTGTTGAATATTACAAGGCCGGGAATGGCGAACAAATAAAATACGTTGACGTTTGTTCACTCTACCCATGGGTATGTAAATATGGCAAATTTCCTGTTGGTCACCCGACAGTTCTTGTTGGTGAGTGGGAGACGTGTGCTACGCCTCTTTCCTCTATCTCAGGTCTCGTAAAATGTATAATTCTCCCACCTCAAGATCTTTTTCATCCTGTTTTACCGCAGAAAATGAACAAGAAGTTGATGTTTGTTCTTTGTCGTGTGTGTGGTGAAAACTATAATACTAGTAGTTGTCATCACACTGATGAAGAGCGTGCATTGACAGGAATATGGACTGCTGAAGAGATATTGAAAGCCATTGAGGTGGGGTATCGGATTATCGAAATCAAAGAGATTTGGTCTTATGATACTGTGCAATTTGGTGAAGATGTTTCAGGCCTATTCACCGACATGATGAATAAATTCATCAAGGTGAAGCAGGAATCATCAGATTGGCCTAAGAATTGTGAGACCAAAGAGGAGAGAGATAGGTACATTGACGAATTTTTACAACGGGAGGATGTTTTGCTGGAATTTTCTAAAATTACCGATAATCCCGGGTTGAGAGCACTGGCCAAGCTTATGCTGAATTCCTTCTGGGGTAAGTTTGGTCAGCGTGAAAACCAACCGAAAACTTCGATCATCAATCAGCCCTCGGAATTCTTTTCGATGATGACGGATCCTTCCCTCATTGTCAATACAGTACTCCCGATAAACGAGGATACCCTCATTGTTAATTGGGAGTATAAGGAGGAGAGCTATGACACTCTTTCCACTGTCAATGTCGTTATAGCTGCATATGTGACAGCCTTAGCTCGGTTGAAACTTTACAGCTATTCACAGCAGCTTAGGGAAAGGGTGTTATACTATGACACAGACTCAGTCATCTATGTTTCCAGACCAGGGGAATTTGACATTCCTACTGGTCAATTTATTGGTGATATGACCGATGAAATGGAATGTTACGGCCCTGGTTCCCATATCACAGAGTTTGTATCTGGTGGCCCGAAAAATTATGCCTATAAGCTATGGTCAACCAAGGAACAAGAGTTTAAAGTTGTATGCAAAGTTAAAGGCCTCTCACTCAACTATGCTGCTTCACAGCTGGTTAACTTTGATTCTATTAAAGATATGATTTTGAACCCTGGTCCCCCTGTCGAAATTTTGAGCAAACAGTTCCGACGAACCAAGGAACATGAGGTCATAACAGTCGATGTAACCAAAAAGTATAAGCCTGTAAGTTTGAAGCGGAAATTTCTCGAAGATCACACCTCTGTACCTTATGGTTTCAAAAAATTCAAATCATAAATATTTTTCGAAATCACAGTATCGTATTACCATTTTCTATCATTCGGAGGTGTACAAATTACGCTTGAAGCTTTCTAATCAATGTTCTGTACAAAATTCGATAAAATAAATTCCCCCGCTAATCACGAAACTTGAGAGAGAGAGTAAAAGCAATCGTTATCACGGCCGGACTGCACAGCGAATTCTGAAAAATCTTCCGTTTTCACGGCTACTCTAGAGATTTTAGGTGAATAGTTCATTAAGAAAGAAAAAGACCCCAATCATCTGGCAAACTAAAGAAGTGTTTCTTTTGAATAAGAAATCGATCTTCGTGCAGCTAGAAAATGGAACAAACAAAATTGCGAGATATTTTATGTCAATAGTCACATGTTTCAAAAAGAGGCATTCTCCTGGCGAATTAATGAAGTGTTTCTTCTAAATAAGAAATTGATCTTCGTACAGCTAGAAATAGAACAAACAAAAACTGCTCTGATTTCGTGTCAACAGTCACCTGTTCTATTATAATGAATTTTTCACCCGAAATCTTTAGAGTGTGTGGTTTTTCTATACCTCGAGGGTGGTGGGGAAACAAGCCTATTATACCATGTTTTAGGTCCCATACTAGCTGTTGATGTCAGTGTGACAGCTCTTCAGTATTTCACCAGCTTTCCAACAGTACAGACGTAATCAGCAATGCCAAACTGTGACTGGGGTAGACCATGCAATTGCTGTGACTGCAAACCTAGTTTCTGCTCTTTCTGCCGTAAAGAGAAGGTTCATCATGTAATCGAAGACTACAGCACCGACAGAAAAGGGATAGGCGCCTACAGTTCCACGGCATGGTGTGAAGATTGTTTCAAGAAAAGAATGAAATAGATTGTTTCGTGATTGTCTCATCAGTAAATAAAATGATATGGTTTGTTATTGTCTCATGTCTCAATAAAATGTTTGATAAATATTTACATATTTAACTGACCCCATTACGCCCTGCATATTCTTTATCAAACAGACAACCGAAGTATCCTGTTTACCTTGTAATTTGTAATTGAAAAACTTTCTCTCCTATTTTTCAAAACAGAAAACTAAAACATCCTGTATACTTAATCATTTTTTAAAAAGGCCCTGTATATTTTTCCAGAACCAGAACCCGAACATCCTGTATACAATATAATTCGAAATTGAAGAACTTTTCAAACAAAGGCCAAAACATACAAGAAGGTTCAACTCTGTTTATTCTGAAATCCTATATAGTTTTGACCTGCCTTCAAAACATTATGGCAAAACGAGTAACATTTTACGATACTGGAAAGGCCTGTTATCCTAATGATTTATGAAGCACTCTGTATCTACGACATAGACAACTATGAATGAAAATAAAAATCCTACTTCTTTTGTTAGCTGTAAATCCAGAATGAAACTGAAAATCCTAATGATTTATGAACTACCCTGTATTTAAATAACATTCAGTTTCTATTGTTAACATAAATCTAGAAGGATATAGAACTAAAAATCTCAAAGTTTCACGAAACACTCTATAACTACGACAGATACAGCTGTGAATGAAAATAAAATTACTTACTACTTCTTTTGTTAGCTGAAAATATAGAATAGAACTGAAAATCCTGATATTTCACGAAACACCCTGTATTAAAATTAAATTAAATTTCTGCTGTTAGCGGAACTCTAGCAGAATATAAAACTAGAAATCCTGATGTTGCACGATACACCCTGTATTTTAATGAAATTAAATTCCTGTTGTTAGCGGAACTCTCTAGAAGATATAAAACCTAATGACTTACGAAACACCTTGTACATCAACTTCAACTACATCAATTTTTGCTTCTTGTTATTGCTGATGAGCAGAGCCTCTGTAGTTGTTTTTTGTTATCCAAAATTCATGCGTTTACAAAATTCCTGTAAATGTTCTGTAATGAACCTAACAATAATTACAAAGAACTAAAATGAAATCCTAATTCATCGCTAAGACACAATACTTTGATAACTATAGTTTTCGTATCTTTTCACATATGATACCTACCTATCCAAACTGACATTCTCGAAAAACTTTAGCCCGAAGGTCCTGTCGCGAAAACCGAGGAATTTTACGTAATTTGAAAGAAAAACAGAAAAATAAGCCACTCACCAATTTCGTTGAACAACTGCTATATCCAGAAATAAACGAGTACCTATATGCAGTAATGACCGCTCCATTCTAATTTTCCACAAAAATACACTTTCACCTCACAGATGTTTTTTTTTTGGCAATGAAAAAACACTGAATCTTATATGTCCAACACGAATGAAGATTGAAATAAGACTCCGATTTGAGAGAAATTTTGTTATTCGAAGTTTAATCAGACACAGGAAATAGCGCGAGTTGTAACAGAAAATCTCCGCGATGAGATTGGTTGTTATACAGGGTATAATCTGCCATCAATACAGAGATATGTAGGTAAAACCTTGTAGTGATGACACAACCGACACTACCTTATACCTAATTTGTGACATAACCTCGAAAAGCATTGTATCGTTTGTCTAGTAATGGTATGTTCGTGGTATTTCGCTATCATCGAAGGCTTCAACTAGGCTTCATCAGTATTTCACTAATATTGATCGGAATAATCAGTTAGCGCGTCATATCTGTCATATGTTACGTATATGCTTGCAAGGTCCGCCTATGGCCAGTTCTAACAGTGAGCCCCCTTATATATATATATATATATATATATATATAAACTTTTTTACAAGCACACTGTATATTGAACGGGTGCATCAGCTAGCACGTCAGTTGTCTGATATGATTGCTGATGTCATTCTTTCGTGCAAAATATCACTTATACACATCTAGGTCTACTATGTTCCCCATGCCACACAAAACATTTTCAGCTGGCGGTTTGGCAGCATTGTTCAAGGCAGCGACTCTTATCACGCAGAGTCTTGGTATATTGTCGTTATCATGGAAATATTTCATCATAATTTTATTTCGTTGTACTAACGTCTTATCAACCTATATATAGCTTTGCTCGCTGATCCTCGATGATCCCATTTGAATACGGTTTTCATAGTGAAATTTTCGTGGCCTCCTGAATGGCTCAGTGCGTGTATACGCTGCCTCACAATGCAAAGAACCCGAGTTCGATCGCCAGCAGTGGAGGTTTTTTTTAATTTATCCACGATGATGATGTCATGACAATTTGAATTTCGCTCCGCTCGTGGGGCCGCGAGTAGCTAGCTGAGTCAAGCCGGCCTGTGATTGACTAGTCGGGTCACGTAGTTTGGAAAAAAGTGGAGGGGTGGGGCTGGTCTGAAGTGACGGGCTTCCTACTCTTGGTATATGGTTAAGAGTAGTTAAGATGGCGGGTGGTAGTAGTAGCGTGAAATCTTCAGAGAATGAAAAATATTGTAAACATTGTAAGAAAAAAGTTGCAAACTCAGTGGACTGCAAAAATTGCTCATCTGCATTCCATCCAAGCTGTGCAAACCAAGCAAACGCAGTGAATAGTAAACAAGAAATAGTATGTTGTGATCCACGTTCTAAAAGTGAGGTTACGTACACAAAAACGATGGAAAAAACAAACACTAATTTAACTATTGATGAAGCAAAACTGAAAAATATCTTTAGTAAAATGCTCCAGGAATTTTTTGAACCCGTGAGGAAACACCTAGAAGAGGAAATGCAAGAACTGAAAAAATCAGTGGAGTATATGTCTGACTGTTTCGACAGACAAAAAGAAAACACAGAGGAATTAATCACAAAAATTAAGCTAATTGCAAAGGAAAATGAGGAACTAAACCAACGTGTACTACAGTTAGAGAACAAACTTAACTGGCAGGAACAGAGGGAAAAAGAAAAAAATCTAATTCTGTGTGGAGTCCCAGATCAACTAAATAAAAACACCAACCAAATCACAATGGATATTGCTAGGACAGTGAGTGTATCAATCAAAGAAGACGATATAGAAAGCAGTTACAGAGTGAACAAAAAAGATAGTGCACCCATTCTTGTTAAACTCCGAACCATTGAAAAGAAGAAGGAAATGATAATAGCAGCCAAAAAAATGAGAGGGATAAAAGTGAATGACTGTGGTCTTGAAGGTACTAACAGGAATATTTTTTTCAATGACGATTTAACATTGCAAACTCAGATGCTTTTCAAGAAGACGAGAGATCTTAGAAAAGAAAAAAACTACAAGTCTGCCTACTGTATTGGGGGCAAAATATTTCTGAGAAAAACTGATTCAGATAATCCGATAAGGATACACTCTGAAAACGACTTAGTGCAAAACTGTTAAAACAAATATACTATAAAAAGAAAAAGTGGAAAGTGACAAAGCAGAAAAAATATCAATGGCTAACATAAATAAAATGAACATACTGTACATAAACATAAGAAGCTTGAGGAACAAACTGGACGATATTGAAAACCTAATTAATACAACACAGAAGAAAATACACATTTTGGTTCTAACAGAAACATGGATTTATGAAAATGAAACCCAATACTATAATCTTCCAAACTATGAAGCAGTACACAAATGCCGAAATACAAGAGGTGGAGGCACAGCAATGTATATAAGTCAGGGAATACCTTACAATGAAGAACACATAATAATGCAGTACTGTGAAATGACAATGATAACCCTTAAAGAAACTGGACTCAACATCATAACTGCATATCGACCACCATCAAGAAATGTAAAAGAATTTACCATGGAATTTGATGAAGTGCTGGACAAAATTAGAAAAAAATGTATAATCATAGGGGACATGAATATAGACCTACTTGAAAATTCCATAACTACCCAAGAATATAAACAAGTAATTATAAGTAATGGCTTTGAAATACAAAACCAAACTGAGCCAGAGGCAGCTACGCGTATAGGTTTAACCAAGAAATCTATCATAGACCATGTCCTAACAAATAATGGAATAAGTTGTAACATCAACATCAAGGAAACCTGCCTATCAGATCATAATATTATGGAAATCACAATGGATGATCCAAGCTTTAACAAACTGAATAATGTAAAAATAGAGAGAAGACGAGTAGACTACAATAACTTCAAAGACAATGTTAGAGCTACACTAAATAGTATGGAGATAAAAAACTTCAAAGAAATCATAAACATTATAGTAGAGGAAAAAAACCGATGCTCAGAAACAAAAATACTGAAAGTAAAAGAGGGAAACGAATGGATAACAACAGAGTTCTTGGATAGGATCAGAGAGAGAGATAAGATATATAAAAAACTAAAAGAATTTCCCAACCCTCAACTACAACAAAGTTTCAACCAATTGAAAAATGAAGTCAATCAAATGAGACAGTCTCTAAAATCTAGATGGGTCGAAAAACAAATGAATAAAGCAGGAAGTAACTCAAAAAAGATATGGCAAGTCATCAATAATGTCATACATAACATCAATAGAACAAAAAGAAAAGCCTGTTTAGATAAAATAACAATAGAGGATGGAATGTGTTTAACAGATGAGCTCCAAATTGTCAACCAGTTCTCTAAGTATTTCTCTGAGGTAGGAGAAAAAATAACTGATAGCATACCAGACACTGACTCGAACTTCTTGGAACAGGAAAACAGTAAATCCATATTTTTTCAGCCTGTTGATTTGAAAGAAATTTCAACTATAATTCACTCTCTAAAAAATTCCTCAGCACCAGGATATGATGGCATAACTAAAGAAGATTTGCTGAATATTATTGATGAAATCAGTGTTCACCTAGTAAAGCTGATAAATGAAATCATGGAAACAGGATACTTTCCAGCAGAACTAAAAATTGCTAAAGTGATACCGATATATAAAAATGGGAAACGTGACAGACTAAACAATTACAGGCCCATATCAATTCTAAGTATCTTCTCTAAAATTGTGGAAAAAGTAATAAAAGCCAGAATAGTGCAATTTGTCGGTAAAACCTTTTGTTTTGATCGGCATCAATATGGGTTTCAAGAAAAAAAAAGTACTCTGAGTGCAACAGCTGACCTATTGGACTATATCGCTTGTGAAATGAATAGAAACAAATATGTCGTTACGGTATTTGTAGATCTCAGAAAAGCATTTGACACGGTGAATGTGGCAAAAATTATGAACAAATTGAATAATATGGGATTCAGAGGTGTTTCTCACAACCTGTTAAAATCCTATTTATCGGATAGAAAATTATACACAAGATTAGAAAATAATCAAAGTGATGAGTATAACATAAATATTGGTGTGCCTCAGGGGTCTGTGCTCGGGCCGGTACTATATCTTTTGTACGTTCATTCCCTGAAAACAGCAGGCTTAAGTGCAAGATACTTCACCTTTGCTGACGACACAGTGCTGGTTTATTCAAGTGGCAGTCTAAAATCATTAGAGCTAATAGCAAATAATGACCTAAACAAATATCATCAATGGCTACTGATGAATAAATTAGCATTAAATGTCGTAAAAACTGTTTACATGGTGATAAAACACAAAAACAAATCAAATGGGACAATACAACTGAATATAAACAATAATGTGCTAGAAGAAGTTGAAGTTTACAAATACTTAGGACTATTGATTGATAATAAACTTCAGTGGACAGACCATATTAACAAGGTGATAACCAAACTAGCTGCAATGGGGGGTGCATTGAAACGCTGTTCAAAGTATTTAAACAACAATGTTAAAAAAAGTGTTTATTACAGCTATATTGAATCACATTTAAGATATCTGGTACCATGCTGGGGCAATGCATCACAACAATCAATTAATAAACTAGGAAGAGCGCAAAATAAATCAATAAAGACTTTACATAACCTGGATCGATTAACTTCAACAAACATTATTTATCAAATAACTGGATACATAACAATTGATCAAATCGTTACAATTGAACAAGCTAAGTTTATTCATGGAGTCTTGAACGAATACATTCATTGTAATACTAACATCGAAGTAGTAGGTGACTTACATAACTACAATACACGCAATACTGTAAGACTAAAACAAAAATATATGAGAACTAAAAAAAATCAGGACACACCCATTTATAAAGGAATTCAACAGTATAATAATCTCCCAGTGGAAATCACAAACATTGCTTCCAGAATGGTATTCAAAAAAGAGTTAAAAAAATATGTAGCTGAACAAACCGATAGTTGAGACCAAACAAATATACAGTATTATTATTATTATTATTATTACTATTATCATTATTATTATTATTGTTTAAAATATGTATCAATCTTAGATTTTATCTATGTTTTGTATTATATTGTTAATACTATCACTTAAATTGTGCTGTAGGTCATATCACCAGAAGTTATTCTGATTATTGGCCAATTTTTGTATTCAATAAAAAAAAATAAAATAATTGCAGGGTTGTTACAAAATCTTAATGCAATTCTCAATGACAACAAAAATAAACCACGATAATTCGTTTCGGAATAAATTATCATTCAACATAACATAATTATACTTGATTGAAAAAATCAATGCGGTCAAATAAAAACTGTTCCAATTTTGAACAAAATGTTACCCGCGGTATCTCTCGTTTCTATGTCGACCACATCAATTCATTAAGTTCAGGAAATGAGTGTAACTCATCATATCAGTGTGAAATTTTATTTAATAATAAACAATAGACTGATGGTAGCAATTACATATAACAAGGAAAAGTGGTTCGAAGACGTTACGTAAAGATCATTCAATTAATGCTTAATTAATTGTGATTGTTCACTTTCAACTCAAGCGTAAAGAGTTAGCATCTATTATGCCATAACAGTTTATTGTTCAAAAAGTATATTGACTGGGTCAGAATATCAGATTCGTACAGAGTGACTTTCCACAAGAAGTAAATAATTCCTATAATTCATGAAAAATGACAGTAATATTGACTGAATGGTTTGCTGTGAAGAAAAATAAGGAACGCTCGTACGTCAGTTATCACTGCTTGCCTGTAGATTGATTTGAATCGTGAAATTGACCATCCTCAAATACTATAACTCACTTTTTGCTGTCAACTTTCGTCACTATATGAAGTGTCAATAGACAAAACTGAAGAGTTAAGTAACATGGTCCAATTTTCCATTCATATTTCTGGATCATTTTTGGAAACGTAATATAAAAAAAGTGTCATCAGGTTGAAGTCGTCTAGATTGGAGCACTTTTCAGTTTTGAACTTTTTTCTTCAAGGATCATCGAGGTATACGTCGTATAGGTATAGGTGTGGGTTATAGTTCACATTCATGTGACTTGGTTTTAATTACCTTTTTGAATGTTAAACCATAAAAATCATCCATATCTCAAAGTGGTCCAAACTAATTTCAAAAGGAAAACTAAAATTGCCTCAAAGTCGGTCGACCACACTTTATAAAAAATATTGAAAAATACATGTAACCAGTTTCGGCGCAACGGCCATCATCACCTTCAGGACGATTATATGATTTCCTTGGTCATATCAACTCTCTCCATCCGAATATTGAGTTTACCATAGAGGCTGAAACCAACCATACTTCACCATTTCTTGATTAACTTATCACTAAAAATGTCTAGATTTCTAGATTTTAATTTGAGGTTTACAGAAAACCTACTGTAACTGATTCAATAATCTTCTTTGATTCTAATCGTACCCACATTCTCATATGTTATGACTATTTATTTTAAATTTTACACTGAATTCAGACTAACATTTAATATCATCTCCAGTCAACCTCCATCTCCCCCTGTATATAAATCTCTGAATTTTTTCGGTCATTATTCTTTCAAAATTGCAAAACTTTTCAAGAACTGAAGAATTCGTATTTCTTTCAAAACAACTTCTAATCTCAAGCATATTTTTGTTAATTCCAAGGACAGGAACCCCCATATTGAAAAATCAGGTGTCTATAAATTGAGTAGCAATGATTGTAATGCTGATATATTAGTCAAACAGAAAGAAGTTTTAAGATTCGTTTTCTCTGAACATAATAGAATAATTAATAAATTTTTGTCCGCTGTCGATCCGCATTCACCATCCTCTTATGCTAATCACATCATAGATTCCAATAGAAATCCGAATATTCTTCACATTTGCGATAAAATTCCTAGGTTGAACCTCCTTGAAATCATGGAGATTCAGAAATGCATCAACAACCACAACGTTTCATGTCTCAATGATCAAACTAATTTTGAACAGAATCACATTTTCAGAACTTTACAATTTTCATGATTTATTGGTCTTGTCCCAACTTTTTTCAGTCGACTCTCCGCCACTGTATTTCGTAGTATTGACAATTTCTCCAATCTCCTTAGTTTGCTTCTTCTGGTTTCT